CCTATTGCGGGATGTGGGGAGACCAGTCGCGTTGCTGGTCGCRGATGCGGCCCCGGCCGTCCTCGTTGCTGCTCTGTGTGTCCATCAGGGCCTGCTTGTGAAGRACCCATCACGTGGGGACCTTGTGTGAGATGTTGGAGGCTCCTGCTTGGCCTGGGACGTCGYGAGTGCTGTGAGTGTCAGTCTGCGCTATGGAGCATTGCCTCCTTGGTGTCGGGGGCTCCCTGCCCTTAAAACACCTGTGTGATGGGCTCGTAGATGGGGCCTGTCCTCAGGGCAGGGTGCAGTTCTCCCTGCAGGCTGCTGGGTCGGTGGTGGCACCTCAGCGATGTCCCCCGTGCCGTGGGGAGCTTGCCCAGGCCTGTTCTGGGAAAGTTTGCCCTGGTCTGCGAGCCAGATAGCAGCCGGAGCACTCCTGCTTCCCTGGGGCTTTGCCTGTTGTTATCCTCCGTCAAAAGTGCCTTTGGAGCAGGGAAAAGGCAGCTCRGTCCTGCGCCCGGGCTGAGGTGGCTTGCTGGTAAAGAGCTCTCTTCCTTTGGTGACTTCTCTTTATTGTATTTCTCTCTTCCTGAGGGCATTGCAAGGATGGGCACAGGCACCTGATCGGGTCCTGTCCATCCTGTGTCCATGTTGTGATTGTGTCACTGTGGCTCGAACGGAGCCTGCTCCTGTTGGGAGAGAGTCTCAGGCCACCCGTTTCCCATGGGATAATGAGCAGCTTGCTAAACGATCGTGACTTGGAGTCAGGGCTGATGCGGACTTCGTTTGACCCAGTCCCCGGTTGAAATTATCCGTGTTTCACAAGGGCAGCTTGAGCGCTTTTATTTAATTTGCATTATTCTGCAGCCTGCATAATGTAGTTCAAACCATAAGATTAAAGCGTTGGCAAATTTTCCTAACAGGAAGCAGCAGATTTATTTCAGATTCTGGAGTTTTTGATTGATTGCCCCATGAGAACAAGACTGAGGAGTAAATGAGAGTGGGAGAAGCAGTTTTACAAGCCCTGCTTTTCCCAGTGGGGAGGCCGCGTGTGTTTTTGTGAATGATTTGACATTTCYGTGCTCCCTGAACACGCCGGCAGCGCCGCTATAAGGTCAGGAGACCTGTTCTCCCGGTGAACACGTGCATCCTAATGCAGAGATGGAGGAGCCCTCGCATAATTTGGGAGGATTTTATTAAACCCAGAACAAGGCCTGTGTGTTGCAGCCTTGGAGAAAGGTCCACTTTGTTTTCTAGTAATAAAGGGTGACATGCAAGCTTTATTAACAAGGCATGCAGGAAAAAGAAAAGGCTCAAGGGATAACTCTGAAAAAGTGGTGCTAAATGTGTCATTTTTATGAAGCTGCTTTTGTGAAGGGTTCCTACATGCTTTGGCAGGAGGTTGCAGCAGGTTTACAATAATTTGTAGGAAGATAGAAGTGTTTTCACCCTGAAGTGAGAAGAATAGCACAAAAAAACCATGTTGATGTGCTCGGGATTTGCATTCCACTCAGGTTTTTGGAGGGGAGGTCCTTTCTGTCCCTTYGGATGGTGAGGAGCCGGCTCCAGCTTTGGGCAGTGTTGGACTTTGCTGTGGACCTCAGTATTTCTCCAAAGCCTGGATCCAGCTTTAATGTTAGAAGAWGGATTTTTAACCTTTGCAAAGTCTAATTTGGAGGATTTTAAAAAACCCAAAAGACTAAAAATAGCCAAAAGGCGGGAAAGTGAGAAAAGCTGTGTGGGGCCGGGTACTGCGCGAGTGAGGCTGCCAGGAGCCCCAGTCTGGCTCCTGTGTGAGGCCGGTGCTTCCGTGCCGTCCCTGTGCTCCGTGCACACACAGGCACCTTCCGGCATGTTCATTTGTGACTTCTGCACCACAAATAAAGCCCAGAAACACTGAATTAGAAGTGAAGTGTTACTGAAGCTTAACAGCTTCCTAAGGAAGCAACTCCCATGGCTTAACCGCTGCCTGCTGGGGGCCGCAGGCTCCTCGGGGCAGGGAATTTGCTCCTTTTCTGCCTTCAGAGCCTGCAGCCTTTATGCTGGCCCTGCTTAGCTTGCATTAAGCTTGCAGGTTAAATGGCCTTTGGGTCCTTTGCCTTTTATTCTGTTATTTTAAAGCGGAGCATAAGCAGTGCTGGGTTAGTGTCTCATTTCTAATAGGTCGATAGGTTCTAATTGGACAATAGGAAAGTCACCCTCCCCATGCCCAGCTCAGGAAGAGTTTTATTGATGTTTATGCATTTTTTTAATTTAATGGAAATGATAGTTCTTGACATAAAGCAACCCCTGGAAAAAAAAAAAAAAAAGAAAAGCTGTTTAAAATTTCCCTGCTGATTGCTTGAATCCGAGTGTGTCTGTTATATTTATATTTGTGTTGCTAAGGCAGCGGTTAAAAGCATTTTTCAGATTAGACACTGGTAAGCGGCGCACAGAGCCCAGCTTGCTCCAGGATGGAATGATGTCTGCGTGTCCGTGTATGCGATGCAGGTCCCAGTTTGGGAGAAATGAGGTCCAAAGCGTCGACGGGGAGCACGGAAATTCAGGCGGGATGTTACTYGGTGCTTCCTGATCTCCTTGTGGATGCACCTTATGGAAGAGCACGCTGTGTCATTGGCAAGAATGAGCTTTACCTTTTCTCTCCTCTTTTGTGCTTCRACCTTGTGCTGTGGGCCCTGTTAAGCTGGGGGGGCAGCTCCTTTCCCAAATGGTTTGCCATTCATTGGGTAAATCTCATTCCTTATTTTCTGTATTGATTCCRGAGTCTTTTCGATGACCTTGACAGATAATCCCAGCCCTGAGGAGCAGCCTCATAGGGAGCTGGGCTGCCTCGTGAAGCACCCGGAGCCGCCTGGGTTGGGAAGTGCTGGCAGCCCCTGCTGAGGGGAGGCAGATTCCCCTCCCTGCTGCGGCTCACTCCTTGCCTTGCTGGAACACTGGGAGTGATTTGCATCCATGATGCATTTCCTGACAGGCTGTGATAGTTGGAGCCGTGCAGGGATGCGATAGGATGCGGGGGACCAGAGCAGGTAGCGGGCACACCTGCCAGAACAAGCGTTAGTCCCGTCAACCTGACTGAAACCCAGGGAATGGGCTCACCTGCAGTGATTCCTGTTGCTTTGCATTCCCTGCGGGAATACCCTGGGAGGGCCTGGATTTGCCTGAGCTGCTTGTGCTGGGCCCAGGTGACCGAGTGACTCCCCTTTGGCCAGTGACTGCGTTAAAACCGTCCCCATTTTTCCCTGTGTCCGGCTGCTGTTGCAGCCGCTTTGCAAAGCGCTTCCCGCATGCCTGCATCTCCCACCTGCCCCAATCCCAACGCGGGAGCCAGTGCAGCAGGAATTGCTCTGGGAACGGCGTTATCCCTATGTTGGAGACACCGGCTGCTTCATGACCCAGTCGGAGACTTTGTGCAACATTTCAACCCTMGACGTGGTGCATTTTAACGAATGCATGTGTGCTTCCTATGGAGACACGGAGCACTTCAGCAACCCGAGCCGGGCTGCAGGAACAAGGATGCAGGGAGTGGCAGCTCGCAGTGGATCTCCCGCGCGCGCCCACAGCAGTCATTACCATGTGCAGGTAATAACGGAGCGGGGGGCCAGCGCSCCGGCTCGCGGAGCCGTGTGAGGCTCCTGCTTGGGAGATTGGACCTCGTGCTGCGTCTCAGAAAAGGTCACGCTGAGCCGGCGCTGCCCCTGCTTTATTGCCTCGGCGCGGCCGTCTAAGCTCCGCCGCTGCGAGCGGGTTTAGCGTTGGCYGCGCTGCAGCCGCCCCGCTCGGCATCCTGCCGCTGGGATTGCGTTAGCAGCACAYTCTGCTCTCCTTTATTTATTGAGGCATTAAAGATGCATGCATTTATTTTTACCATGCTCATAATTGCCATAAAAGCAGGCCCCAGCCTTCCAGAGCGGCTCGYGGGGAGAGGAGGAGCGGGCGCAGAGGAGGAGCCGTGGGGAAGGCTCCTCCTGGGCTGCCCACGTGCACCGGGATGGTGCCGAGTCCATGTTGGTGTCCAGGAGCGGGGCATTTGGGCCCTGTCTCCTCCACATGGGCTAGGAGCTCGTTGGAGACTCAGGTGAACTTGCTCTGCCCTGGTCACCTCTTGGTGCTGCTCCTATGGTGTCCATCCATGTGCCTCCCATCCCAGCTCCCACTGCATCCCAGACTCACAGTCCCCACTGCATCCCAGGGTGGTCACTCCATGCTGGCAGTAGCCCTGTGTTCCCTCCCCTGTTTTCCAGCTGCCTCTCTGCCCCATGCTCCATTCCCAGCATTCCTGCTGCTGGGAAAAACAGATGAGCCAGGCCCAGTGATGTCAGGCTGCAGGAGGGCGCTGGGGACATGGGCTTTGTTGGTGACTTCCCTTGCAAGTGATAAATTCATTGTGTCCCCCTCCTCTACCTCTTAACTGTTGTCACCTGCTGCTTGCTTTAGTTTTAGTAACTGAGCCTGATGCCTCTGTGAACGGAATGGCTTGGAACAAAGCGAGGTGCCCGTGTTGGGTTCTCCAGCAGGGATTACCTTGCTGGCATTTACATATCTCTGCAATAAATATTTTAACATGTTAATTATACACTAATAAGAAAAATACCTTTTGAACTTTCAGTCAAATTGACACACAGAGCCGGGTCCATCAGGGAATTAAAAGCAATTAGTTCTGTAACGGAGCGTAGTCACATTGTTTCTTCTCTGCAAATTGGTCTGGGTCACCCCTGAGCCGCCTTCTTGCCGAGAGCTTTTCCAGAGGCTGCCGGGGCCTGGCGGCTCCTGGAGCCTTAGGAATAAGGTGCTTGCCCTGTAGCGAGGGCATTTCTGCTCCTCGGGGCTCCAAAACCACTTTGATGAACGTGCACCGGGATGGGCTGCTGCCTGATCCAGCTTTTCCTGGAAAAGAGGAATGCTGGCCCGGGAGTGGGATTTACTGGTTGCTTTGCACACACTGAACCCTGCACGCCCAGCGGTTCCCATTTGAAGATGAATCACTGGTAACTATCTCCCTTTTCTTTTCCTCCTTTCAGACCGAAAACTACTCCTTTGATTCCAACTACGTGAACAGCAGAGCTCATTTAATAAAAAGGTACGTAGGTTTGCCTGAAAGTGCTGGGGTTCTGCCTAGCCAAATGCTGATTATTTGATGCTCTTTCTTAGTGCGTTATGCACTGCTTGCTTTTTTTTAACACACAAAACGTTTCAGGAATAATCGCCTGCTTTTAAAAACAGTATTTACTTCCTATTAAGTCCAATTGCTCTTGGTTCTCAGTAAAGGTTCTTTCTTCTGTCTGGCTCTTTGGTTCTGGGAAATTGCGGTGAGTTAGGTGGAGCTTTAAAATTCATAGAGTTTATTCTGTCTAAATGGACGAGAATAAAATGATGGTTTTGGGTAGTGAGATCTCCGTGCCACATGGGAGGAGGAAGAAAAAGCTCATTTGGAGGTGGACAGGTGGGTACCTGTTCCCTGTTTTGGTTTGGAWACCAAGGCAAAATAATATTTTGCTGTTTTGTTTCTTGTTGGGAAAGTATAAGTCATCAGTTCTGTTACAACCCAGCAATTATTCTTGGGCAAGTTTAACCCTTTGGGTAAAACTGGGCTTTTCTCTGTGTCCTCTGAATTGTCCAGGGGCAAAGAAGTCACTCTGGTAAGTTAATGTCTCGGTTACTCCAGCTTAACCCCATTGACTCCACCTCGACTGCATTAAAACAAACGAGTGCTGGATCTGGCCCTGCAGGGGAAGGTCTYGGATCCTTCCTCTCCCTCACTCTCTGTTTCCAAGGCTGTAAAAGCTGCTGCCACAGCAGGGTCGATACTAATCAGGCGGCCGCGGCTCTGTCTCGCCGCGGGCCTCACCGATCCCCTCTGCAGGATGAGGTTGGGCAGCCCACAGGAGGTGGCCGGCAGCTCTTTCCACCACCTCCCTTTGCCGTTCCTCCTGCTCTCCATCACACACTGGGCTTTCTGCAAGCCAAAAAAATGGAAATATTGCAATGCGGGGACTGGAGGGTGATGTTCTGTGCAGTGTTTTCCACCTGGGAAAAGCCGGTGTGGTGGTAGAGAGAGCAAAAGCGGCCCCTGAACCACTGAGATTCGGTTTGAGCAGTAAAACTCCAGTGTTTGCTGCCTGAGATCCCGTTTGTTTGCATCTTAGGAGCACACGGATGGAGGGTACTGCAAGTGCAGGGGCTGCACGGGGGCAGCCGGATGCGCCTGCCTCGTATGTGATGCCTAATGGTGCTGCGTCCCTCCTCCCAAACATGGGCAGTCCTGGGGGGAAAATAACTGAAAGAAAAGCCCATCTGTAAGAAGTGTCAGCTGCAGGAAGGGGATGTGCGTCCGCAGCAGGAGGAGGACGCGTCGCAGCGTGAGGTGCCTTGAGCCATGCAGGACACAATCCCCCTTCACCTTCCCCCTTGTCTCCTATCTCGAGCACAGCAGATGCCAGGGAGGCTGTGCAGGCGTCCGAGAACAAAAATATTTCCTGTAGCACACAGTGGCATCAGCCCCGTGCCTCGCCTTTGTGGAGATGCTGGAGCACTTCTGTCTTTGGTGAGCGCCTCTCCTCAAATGCAGCACTTTAATTAATCTATTTGTACTTTTCCCTGTGTTGTCTGCCTGCCTCTCTGGCTTATGTGTGTGCACACAAATGAACTGCAGAGTTGTAGTGCTTTCTTAACTTAAAATTCTTTGATGTTGCCTGGAATCAAAGGCGGTGGCTTCAACAGGGACATCTTTATTTAAAAGGTAGTGTTTGAAGGTTTACCAATTTATGTGTATTTCAGCGTTCCCCCCTCGTGTGCTTTTGCAAAGCATCGGGTGGTAGGTGGTCTGCTTGGTTTCCGTGGAGACGTAAAAGGGCTTTGCAAAGTAATGAAAATCTGCAGCTCTCTGGTGCTTTGAAGCACAGGCCGGTTCTTATCCCAAGCAATTTCCAGGCGAATCAGCCAGCAAGGAAGTTTGGAGCAGCTGCAGTGTTGGGGCAGCCTGATACCTGGGATGGGGCAGCTGAAGCCTTTCCATGAGCCCATCCTATGTGAGCATTTGCTCTTCCAGCCCTTCCCAGGGCTTTCCCTGGAGCCCTCCTTTCCCAAGGAGCTTCCTTCTCTCCACAGGACTGCGAACACTTCCTGCTCTGCTCCTTGCAGTCCCAGCAGGAACCAGCTCCTTTCTATCACCGTGGCACTTGGGGTTGCCCTCAGGGTCCCTGGCACATGCRGTGGGGGCGTTTCAGGATGTTCTTGTATTGCTGTAGTCTCAGGTCTTGAGGCTTCCCCTTTGATAGCAGCTCCCAGGAATGCTGAGGGCAGCTGCACTCGGATCAGCTGGCAGAACGGGAATGCAGCCGCGTTGGGACCGGGAAGGAGCCTTTTCTGCCATGGCTGCTGCCAGCGGCTGGGCGACGGGTGCCTGCTTGCTCCAGGGTAGGCTGAGACTCCACAAAAACACGTGGACACCGGGAATTATCTCTTGCAATCCCAGCTCTTGTTTCGACCTCTCTCTGCCCTCAGGAAAGCGCTTCTGGGTAGAGCTGTTTTCTCCTGGTGGCTCTTAGGGACCTGTGGCCATCTGCAGACATCCRGATAGAAACAGTCTCTTGGGCTTCCTGTCGGGTGGTCGCTGGTCTGCAGCCTGAGCCCATGTCTCCTGACCCGGGATGCAGTTTTTCCTTTCACGTTGCTGACGGGGAGCTCTTGGGAGTGTGCTGCCAGGTTCCCTTCCCACTGCACGCTGGGAKGTGGGAGCTGGTCCTGTACCCCCTGTGCCTTCCTGCTATTTCGTGGGATGTTCAGAGAACTGGAGCACACGTCACATCTCTGTGAAAGTATGTGAACTCGGACCCAGAATCACTGGAATGCTTATAAAGTAAAAGCGGTGTCATCATGAGAAGAAACTCTTGGAGGTGCTTTAGTTCTCAAACTAGAAGCCATTAGAGTTTGGTCTATAATCAGATAAATTAGGGTTTAGATCCTTTTTAAAGTTGCATGTTAGGTACTATAGCTTGAGGGCGCTTGGTTATAAAGAGCTCAATTAATTCCTTGTTTAAAAGCTTTGTTCCTGCTCTCTGCTTTGTTCTTGTGTTCTGGGGTACCTGGTGGCGGCTTGATCCCACCTCCATGCAGGGCAGCWGGTCCGGCTGTGGGAGCCCCTGGGATGAAGGGAAGCGCTGCCCGCTCCGTGCTGACCCGCTGCTAAATCACTGCTCTTGAACCCAGCAGCTCCACGTTCAAGGATTTGGAGGGCAATAGCCTGAAGGACAGCGGCCACGAGGAGAGCGACCAGACGGACAGCGAGCACGACGTGCAGCGGGGCCTCTACTGCGACACGGCCGTCAACGACGTGCTCAACACCAGCGTCCCCTCCGTGGGCTCCCAGGTGGCCGAGCCAGGTAAGCGGCGCTGTCACCAGCACGGGGACAGGTCATGGCCATGTGCACGTGGCCCGGGCTCCTCGCCTAGGTGTGCGATAAGGGAGCTAGGTGCTGCCTGGGTGCAATGCTTTCCAGCTGCACAGTGCCCTAGAGATAGAAATTAATCTTCCGTCTGTGCCTGTCAGGTAAGTCAGCGGTTAGGATTATCCTTTCCCAKACAGCAAACCCGTGCCCTGCCACGTCTCTGTGACAGCGAGTTGGTGGCGGAGTTGGGATTAGAGCAGGAATTACCAGCTTGGAGGCTGGGTCTCKTTGCTTCAGCCTTGACTGTTCTCGTCACCAGTTGCAGCCCCTCTTTGCTTGCTTTTCTTGGCTCTGCCTCGTTCCCACTTGGAGCACGTAGGAGCTCACAGGCTGGTGTCGTGCAAGGGATTTTTTTTGACAGGTTGGCTGAACTCCTACGCAGTTAGTCAGAGTTTCCACCAGAGCTGAGCTTGGTCTGGTGGGTGAGGTACTGGTGTCTTCATCCTTGCACGTGCCACACAGCTTCATCGCTTACATGATRCAAAGCTAAATTAAGTCTTTAGACCAGGACTTCATCTAAAACCCGACTCGTACTAGCTAGAGGAAAAGTCAGAGTTGTTCAGCTGAGCCCAAGCCATCAGTTGTACTTAGGCATGAATGTTGCTTCTAATGTCTTACTGAAGCAAACATCCTATGCAAACATCCTGTCTTTTTCAATTAAGAAGTATGAATGTGACTTGGTGCTCCAGCACAGGGAGGCCTCGGGGCGCTTGGCTATATCTTGAGATAAGCTGTAGCTGCGGCTCAAATGGAAGCCCCACTGCTAAAAGACTTAAGGATATGAAAACAAAATGCTGTGATTATGAACTGGTCTTCAGCTGTTTAATTCAATTCATGGTAAACATCATTAAAAGCCTTTGTTTTGCTGTCATAAGAGTCAAATGGGGGAGAGAGAGTTCTTGCCATCTGYGCCACCGAATGTGTTTTTTTCCTTCCAAAGTGAAGCTGATCGCTGTATTAATTCTCGATAGAGCCTGGTAAATGGCCACGGTTAACCCTGTGAGACCCTGCACGTAGGGGACCACGGAGGTCACCTACCCGGTGCCGCCGCCAGCTGCCCTAATTGGAGAGGGATGGCATCCACACTGATAATGCATTTCCAGACAACCCTGCTGTGGCTGAAGATGAAAAATTAAACATTTATATAACTGTATAGCAGTGGCTCAAGTCTCTGAGGACCAGCGCTGTGTCAGGGAACGCAGGCTGATAGCTATCATTTATTATTCTTCTATTACAAAGAACTGCTTTTTCATTTTGATCAGGAGAGGGTTTCTGAGGATGTTTCTTGCCAGTAAAGGATGGGTGTGTATGAGCAGAAATACTCATAATTGATTTCCATCCTCTTGAATGGTCTGAATAACATCTGCTAATTTTGTCACGTTTCTTAGCAGAAAAACAACCTCAATGGACTGCAGATAGGGACAGTACAAAGATTGTTTCTGATAGGTCTGCATGCTGTCTCTGTTGGGTAGAAGATAACAGTGCAAATAAGTTGAGGAGGATGAGTTGGAGATAGAGCTCCTGGGAGGACTCATCCCAGAAACAGATGTGGTCCAATGTGTTGTAGCCAGAATTCCTCAGTGCATGTAGAATACCGAAGGAAAAGCATAAGTGGCTCTGAAGTGAACTTCCAAGACACGCTGTGTGTCAGGATCTCAGGTCCTGAGATGCTTGGTGGTTTAGTGCTCTTATTTCTGGTATATTTTTTTAAGGAAATAATTAATCAGGGATCCACTGTTCACAGCTGCTGGTTACTTGTGCCCCTGTGCAGGGTGTTGTGCCCAGGCCCATGGGCAGCTGGGCACGTTCTGGGCTGCACCTGGGCTGTGGACTGTGGCTGTGGACCTGGCCATGGAGTGTGGTGGCAACGTGTCCCCTGGAGCTGAGCAGCTCTGAGGGTGCTCCTGTGTGGGCTGTCGCAGCCGGGAGCGTCGGCTCTGCATTGCCATCTAGCTGGACTTGGCTGAACACTCCCATGGCCTGGGATTTTCGGAGGCGAGGCAGGAAAACCCAATTTTTGGACTTGAAATGAGAGCAGAGGCAAACTTAGCTATGCAGCCACATCCATTTACATAGGAAAAGCTCATGTCAAGTATTTGTCCCTAATGCTACGTGACAGAAGTTTCCTTATGCAACCTGCTCTTCCCAGGCTGTTCCCTGCGGGTGTCTGGGAGATGCATCCATGGATATTTTCTGCCGAGGTCCCTGCATGTGTATGTAGACAGTGGACATGGCAGGACACATCCAGAACAGGGGAGGTGCCCATGGRTGTCACCAATTGCCACTCACCAGCTCTGATTGAAGTCCCTGATCTTTGCCCTGTGTGCTTGGTGGGGCTGCTTCCTGCAAGCTGCTGCATTTGGGATCCTGCTGAGAACCTTGTCTGATGGACATGCATGGACTTCGGGACTCCTGGTCCCTCTCCTGCACGCATGGAGTCTTGCACAGTGATGGGGACTGTGCTGCTGCCCCCCTGAAATCAGCAGGTGGGCATGGGCCCCTCTGAACCTGCAAGCACATCTGGGCTGGATCCTAGCCGAAAAGCCAAGCCCCTTCCGTGGCCAGCTTCCCTCTTRCATGTTGCCACCCTGGGCAAAGAGTAGCCTTTAATCAGGCTGCACAGAGGGCCCTCGTGGCCTGTTTGAGCTGTGAAGGAGAAACCAGATAGAGGGTGGTTAGATATGGTGGGTAAGGTGACTCTGAGGAGTCTCCAGCACGGGAGTCTCTTGTGCCCCATGAAAGGGGTGGCTGCAAAGGCAGGATGCTGGGTCACAAGTCTGGTTTTGTACAGAGGAATGGGGAGCAACCTGCCTGCAAGGCCCTGGGACTGCTCATGGCATAGTGAGGAGAGGGCAGGTCTGAAGTTAGCAGTTATTGTCACAGCACTGAGGGGAAAAAAGGGTTTAGAGAGGCGTGTGTTCCAAGCTGGTTTGTCAAGCAGGTAYGGTGGAAAATAATCAGGAAACTGCAATCCAGCACCTTGATACCAATAGTTCCCAYGTGATTAAAGCTATGCTTTTGGCATTGCAGTTTTTCCTCAGTTTTCAGAGTTGCAGGGGGTAAAGGAGCAAACAGAACCACATGGAGGACAGAGGTGCTTCCCTTGGTGAGCTGGCAGCCTTCCCGAACATGCAGCTCCTGCTCGGCACCTGGTGTGGGTTGGGAAGCCCATGTCCCTGCTCTTTCCTTTAGATCCAAAGCCCTGTCCAAGGTGAGTCTCCCCTCATCCGGGTGCAGTGCATCACGATGGAGCCTCTGGAGTTTGCAGCTGCAGTTATAACTCTCTCTGCAAGTGCCCCTGCTGCCTGGCTCCAGCCACTGGCTCTGCTCAGCCTGCACCTCCACTTACAGCATCATAAAATGATTCATGAATGCTGAAATTTCAGATTTTTATCCAGATAATTTCAGACTCTCTTTATCTGCTCTGTGGGTAATCCTGGCTCTGCCGAGGCCAGACAGTGCTTGGCACAAATCTGTACAGCTCCGTGACATCTTGATCCAAAGCGTGTTAGTCAGGCACAGGCTATGGGACCATTCCCCATTGTGGGCCTGTCCGGTGGCACCTAGCGAGGCGCTGGATTTCCTGAGGAGCAGGTAGGCATGAGCACATCCTGCCTTCCAGAAATAAACCTAGGCCTGTGGATTTACAGCCTGGGYTGCTTGCAGGGCCACCAGCTGCAGCTGCAGCATGGTAGGAGCCCTTCTTTCTTYGGGAATTCTGTATTTCCCACCAAACCAGCCGTGTGAGGGGCATTGCACATTAGTGGGCAGCAGCAGGTCACCAGCCCTGCTGCCTGGAGCATGGCCACTTGGCCTGTTTCGGGAGCAGGCCTCCTGCCCAGTCCCTCTTTACCTCGGGACCTTAATTATTGATTATAAATTCATCAGTGAAAAAGATGGCTTTAATTGCGCTAATATGTACCCAATTTGGAGTTCATTATGGCGCGGGATTGTTTTCCTTCCCCTGCTAATTGGTGCCGAATGGCAGGAGCAGGACGGCGGCTTCGCCTTGTGCGCCCGCCTTGCCATGCTGGAATTGCGTGTTTATCTCCGGGGGGTGTTAAGTGCTGCTGCTCCCAGCTTATCCCTGCTCCTCCTTATCCTCCTGCTGTTGTCCTCGGCTGAATTCCTCGTGTGCTGGTTGTTGGAGGTGAGGTTTTGAGGTGCAGTGTTGTGGATTGGTTTGTGGAAAACGCTGGGATCTCCGTCCCTACCGTGATCTGAGTTTCTGATGCGCCCTGGAATTGGAYACCAGCCCTGGAGGTGACGGTGGGAGGATGTGGGTGTCCTGGGGGAACACATGGAGCGCAGCGGGTGCCGGAGCYGTGGGATGGGCGATCCCACGGGATGCGGGGCAGGAGCCTCGCGGTCTCCTTTGGCGCTGCTGCCGCTCCCCTTCTGGCAGCGCGGCGGGGAGGCCGCAGCCCGCGGAGCCTCGTGCTGCTCCGCCGCGCGCGGCCGCCCGGACCAGATGTTTTGCCGAGTAATTGAAAATTCCATTTTATCAGAAAGCATTTGCTGTCAAAAAGTTTTATCTTTACTTCAACAAAGAGGTTGATTAGATCCCTCAGGACCTGAATTAGCATCTTTGAGGCTCGATATTCTGTTTTGTGATTCAGGTAGTTATTCCTCCCTTGGTTTTGCTCATATTGTGACTATTCCTTTCCTGTCTTTTAATTTTTTTTTATTTGCCCTCTTCCAAACATATAATTTGTGCAAGTCTGGCTTGTTTCCTTTGTGTGCAGGTACACAGACACACGGACCTGTTTAAATCTTTTCTATTACCTTTTTCACCTTGCCTTGAGCCAGAACCAYGCTTGTACTCCATAAGTCATCGGAGCTCTTGCCCGTGTAGAAACCAGAAAAGCAGCTATTCCAAATATATGTTTCTGATGCTATAAGCAACAGATCTCAATTCCCAACGGTGGCTGGTA